TTCTGCCAAACTATTTTCCAATTTCTCCAGCAGTTTTTGTTAAATAATGAGTTCTCATCCCAGAACCTAGAATCTTTGGATTTATCAAATAGTAGATTGCTATAGTCAGTGGCTGTTGTGTCTTGCATGCCTAACCTATTCCACTTATCCACCACTCTGTTTCTTAGCAATACCAAGTAGTTTTGATGATTGCTGCTTTATAATACAATTTAAGGTCTGGTACAGCTAGGCCACCTTCCCTTGCATTTCTTTTCATTAGTTCCCTTGATATTCTTGACCTTTTGTTCTTCCAGTGAATTTTGTTATCGTTTTTTCTACCTCTATAAAATAATTTTTTGGTAGTTTGATCGATATGGCACTGAATAAGTAAATTAATTTAGGTAGAATTGTCATTTTTATTATATTAGCTCGCCAACCCACAAGCAATTGATATTTTTCCATTTACTTAGATCTGACTTATTTTTGTGAAAAGTGTTTTGTAATTGTGTTCATGTAGTTCCTGGGTTTCTTTTGGCAGGTAGACTCCCAAATATTTTATAATGTTTACAGTAACTTTAAATAGAAATTCTCTTTCTCTCTCTTGCTGTTGGGCATTGTAAGTAATATATAGAAATGTCCATGCTTTATATGGGTTTATTTTATATCCTGCAACTTGGCTAAATTTGTTTATTATTTCAAGTAATTTTTTACCCGATTCTCTAAGTATACCGTCATATCATCTGCAAGGAGTGATAGCTTTGTTTCTTCTTTGCCTATTCTAATTCCTTCAATTTCTTTTTCTTCTCTTATTGCTAAAGGTAACATTTCTAGTATCATATTGAATGAACAGTGGTGATATTTGAACCTCTTTGTTTCACCCCAATCTTATTGGAAATGCTTCTAGCTTATCCTCATCACATATAATGCTTGCTAATAGTTTTAGATAGATGCTACCTAACATTTTAAGGAAGATTCCATTTATTCCTATGCTCTCTAGTGTTTTTAGTAGGAGTAGATATTGTATTTTGTCAGATGCTTTTTCTCCATCTTTTGAGATGATCATATGATTTGTTAGTTTTGTTGTTGATAAGGTCAGTTATGCTGATAGTTTTCCTAATATTGAAGCAGGCCTGCATTTCTGGCATAAATCCTATTTGGTCATAAGTATTATCCTCTAGATAAGTTGCTGTAATCTCTTTGCTAATATTTTAATTTAAGATTTTTGTATCTGTATTCGTTAGGGAAATTGGTCTATAATTTTCTTTTTCTGTTTTGGCTCTTCTTGGTTGATATCAGCATCATATTTATATCATAAAAAGAGTTTGGTAGGACTCTTTCTTCACCTATTTTCCCAAACAGTTTATAGAGTATTGGAATTAGTTGTTCTTTAAATGTTTGATAGAATTCACTTGTAAATCCATCTGGTCCTGGAGATTTTTTTCTTAGAGAGTTCATTGATGATTTGTTTAATTTCTTTTTCTGAAATGGGGTTATTTAAATATTTTATTTCCTCTTCCTTTAATCTGGGCAATTTATATTTTTGTAAATATTCATCGATTTCACTAAGATTATCAAATTTATTGGCATATAGTTGGGCAAAATAGCTCCTAATTATTGTTTTGATTTCCTTTTCATTGGTTGGTGAAATGAAATGAAAATTTTTGATGCTGGTAATTTGATTTTCTTTCTTTTTTTTGCTCTACTTAACCAAAAGTTTATCTCATTTTATTGGTTTTTTCATAAAACCAAGTCTTAGATTTATTTATTAGTTCAATAGTTTTCTTAATTTCAATTTTATTAATCTCTCCTTTGCTTTTCAGACTTTCTAATTTGGTGTTTAATTGGGGATTTTTTATTTGTGCTAGCTTTTTTAGTTGCATGCCCAATTCATTGATCTCTTCTTTCTCTACTTTATTCATATAAGTATTTAGAGATATAAAACTTCTCCAAGAACCACTTTCACTGCATCCCATAAGTTTTTGTATATTGTCTCATTATTGGCATTCTCTTGGATGAAGTTATTGATTGTTTCTGTGATTTGTTGTTTGACCCACTCATTCTTTAGGATTAGATTATTTAGTTTCCAATTAATTTTAGTCTATCTTTCCATGGCCCTTTATTACATGTATTTTTTTTATTGCATCATGATCTGAAAAGAATGCATTTTATGTTTCTGCCCTTCTGCATTTGATTGTGAGGTTTTTATTCCATAGTATGTGGTCAGTTTTTGTGTAGGTGCCATATACTGCTAAGAAAAAGGTATATTCCTTTCTATCCCCATTCAATTTTCTCCAGAGGTCAACCATATCTAACTTTTCTAATATTCTCTTTATCTCCTTAACTACTTTCTTTTTTATTTTGTGGTTAGATTTATCTAGTTCTGAGAGGGAAAGGTTGAGGTCCCTCACTAGTATAGTTTTATTATCTATTTCTTCCTGTAGCTCCTTTAACTTCTCTAAGAATTTGGATGCTATACCACTTGGTGCATATATGTTTAGTAATGATATGAGTTCATTGTCTATGGTACCTTTTAGCAGGATGTAGTTTCCTTCCTTATCTCTTTTAATTAGATCTATTTTTGCTTTTGCTTTTTCTGAGATCAGGATTGCTACCCCTGCTTTTTTACTTCAACTGAAGCAAAATATATTCTGCTCCAGCCTTTTACTCTGTGTGTATCCCTCTGCTTCAAGTGTGTTTCTTGTAAACAACATATTGTAAGATTATGGTTCTTAATCCACTCTGCTATCTGCTTCCATCTTATGGGAGAGTTCATCCCATTCACATTCACAGTTATGATTACTATCTGTGTCTTTCTCACCATCCTATTTTCCCCCGTTTATGCTTTTCTCTCTCTTTTCTCCCTTTCTCTCCTCACTAGAATTTTGCTTTTCACCACCCCCTCCCTCAGTCTGCCCTCTCTTCTGTTCCCCCCCACATACTTTCATTTTCTATTTCCCTTCTACTTCCTATAGGGTAAGTTAGATTTCTATACCTAATGATTATCTTATTCCCTCTTTGAATCAAATCTGTTGAGAGTAAGGTTCAAACAATGCTCATCTCCCTCCCTTCTTTCCCTCTACTGTAATAGGTTTTTGTGCCTTTTCATGTGATGTAATTTATCCTTGTCTGCCTCCTCCTTTCCTCTTCTCCCAGTATAATCCCTTTTCACCATTTAATTAGATTTTTTTATCATCACATCAAAGTCAACTTATACCCACACCCTCTGTCTATGTATACTCCTTTTAAATGTCATAATAACAATAGAGTTCTCAAGAGTTACAAGTTTCGTCTTCCCTTGTAGGGATGTAAACAGTTTGCTATTATTAATACCATGTTGTTTTTTTCTTTCCTGTTTACCTTTTTATGTCTCTTGAGTCTTGTTTGAAGATCAGATTTTCTGCTGAGCTCTGGTCTTTTCATCAGGAAGGTTTGGAAGTCCTCTATTTTGTTGAATGTCCATCTCCTCCCCTGAAAGATCATGCTCAGTTTTGCTGGGTAGTTGATCCTTGGTTGTAATCCAAGCTCCTTTGTTTTACAGAATATTGTATTCTGTGCCCTCCAGAAGCTGCAAGGTCCTGTGTAATCCTGACTGTGGTTCCATGATATTTAAATTGTTTCTTTCTGGCTGCTTGCAGTGTTTTCTCTTTGATATGTTAATTTTGAAATTTGGATACAATATTCCTTGGCATTTTCAGTTTAGGATCTCTTTTAGGAGGTGATTGGTGGATTCTTTCAGTGACTTTCAGGACCTGATCACTGGCTTTGTGTGCTGGGGCCTCAGGTGCTGGCAGTTGGAGGCAGTAGGGTTCTGGCAGCTTACCTTGTGCTGGACTGAGATCAGCAACACTGGAGCTGTTGTGGTGCCGGTGGGGAGTCTGGCCCTTGGGGGATGCCTGCTCACTTGGGCCTTGCACTCAAATGTTTGGCTGCTGGAGGTTGTCTATCAGCCTGGAGCTTTGCCTCTTGGAGTAGTACTTCCTAGAACTGTGCTGAAGCACTGGGAGATTTGGCTGCTGGAGAATACACGTGGTGATTTTCTGAGCTGGTGTCTACCAGTTCCCCTGCCTGCACTGAGGTGTTTGGGGGGTCCTGGTGTTGACGCTTGCCTGCTCCACCGCCCTGGGGCTCATAATCTCCCCCCTGGTATGCTGAGTTAAGGCTTGCCATGACACCTCCCATCCTGCGCTACTCCTCCTACCCCTGAGTGAGAGAGGCCTTTCCTGTTAATCCCCTAAGCTTCCTGGGCTACAAGACTTCTGCACCCTATCTTTCTACTGGCTCAACTGTTCCAGGGTTTTTCCTGGGGCAATATTTTCTGGGCTTTCAGAGGTCAGTAAGAGAGAGTGAGAGCGACTTACTTTTTACTCCACCATTTTGGCTCCTGGAAATGGAAGTCTGGGGCTCTTTTACAGATCCACTAATCAGCCTATTTGAATGGGCCTAAGGACAGATCTACTTATATATGAAATTTTGTATTATTATAGTAAATTTCTGGTATATTTCAAACAAAGCAAGATTATGCATTTAAAATTCAATAAAGCTTCATGAGATGTCTTGAGAATTTTTATCTGAGGATATTATGCTAAACTTAGCCCAGTTTTATGACGACGAACAATTCAGAATAAAATTTATTATACAGAAACTATAATCAGCTTGACACTTCAGTAAATACTATGTTGTACCTTGATGGTAGTGTGACATATTTATGTGATGGTAAATACAATGTGAAAAGCTTAAGATGTTACGATTTCTCTTCCTCCCTTAGATGAATTATTGTTTTAGTATGATGAACTTGACTAATAAAGTACAATTTCTACCAGTTCTTATATCAATCTATAGTTGTGTAGATGGTTAACTTGTATAAACTTATAACTAATCAGTAAAAGAGCTATTCCAGGGAATAGCTGGATTCCAGGGAAATCCCTGGATTTCAAGTTTAATCCTGTAATTTAACTGTTGGTTCAGCAAATTAAAAAAAAAACTGAGTGTTAACTTCATACTTTGACCTCTTGTGTATTTAGGTCCAGCTGATTGTAGTGGATGGGATTGCATTTCCATTTCGGCATGATTTTGATGACCTCTCCCTTCGAACACGGTTACTGAATGGACTAGCACAGCAGCTGATCAGCATGGCAAATAATCACAAATTAGCTGTAAGTTTGAGTATCAAGAAAGTTTCAGAATGGGGCAGCTAGGTGGTACAGTGGATAGAGCACCTGCCCTGAAGTCAGGAGGACCTGAGTTCAAATCTGCCCTCAAACCAAACACTTGACACTCACTAGCTGTGTGACCCTGGGCAAGTCACTTAACCCCAGTTGCCTTAAAAAAAAAAGAAATAGAGAAAGTTTCATAATAAACTGTATCAGATTTTACCTTCTGTACCTTCCCATGTCTGCATACAACAAATTAGACTTCATGTTTGCCTTAGTAACTTGTGTATGAGATGAGCTTTATAATAAGAGTGAGATGGTTTTTTTCTCCTTTATATGAAGAGTCATTGCTTCATATAGCAATGTCAATTCTAGTGGTGGTTTAGCTTTGGCTCTTTGTGAGATTGGGTAAGCAGTTTTCCCATGTTCTCTCTGCTAGTATCTGAAATAGAGAATGCAGCTGGCTGTTAATGATTTGTTATCTTTGTTGTTGTTATTAATTTTTCCCTGGCAGTAGTGTTTAGGAATTTTCTGTCACCCATAGAAGTCTATAGTACTCTGTCTTAAATACTTTTTCTGTCATTTGCCATAATTCAGATTTCTTTTACTCTTATTAAATGGCCAGTAGGTGGCATGCTCTACTTAGAGCTATTTATAGTTCCTTAGACCAAAGCTTGAGAAATGTTCAGCCAGTATGAAAACTTGCAATTTAAAATGGAGCTTTGTGCTTCTCTCTTGCAAAAATGTTATTCATAGGAATTCTCAATATTTTTCTTTTATAATAGCATTTACTCAGGTGTTTTTGCAGAGAGAATGATTAGATTATAAATATGTTAGCAAGGCAAAATCCAAATTTACAATTTTTGGTAAAACAGAAGTCAGTATTTCTGGTCATTTCTTTCATGTGGAAAGTAATGGATAAAATAATGGAAATTTTTAAACAAGAACTATATTTACAAAAGGAATTAGGCATTTATGGCAAGGTCAGTTTGTTGTTGTTCGGTCATTTTTTGTTGTATCTGATACTTTGTGACTGTACTTGGGGTTTTCTTGGCAAAAATACTGGAGTAGTTTACCATTGTCTTCTCTACTTCATTTTACAGATCAAGAAATTGAGGCAGACAGGGTTAAGTGACTTGCAGGAAGATGAGTCTTCCTGATTCTAGGCCTGGCATTCTGTCGACCGTGCCACCTAGTTCCCCATAACTTCAAATAGCTTCAGCAAAAGTTGTTCTTTTTGTTGTCAACTCTAGGCAGTCAAACATCCATTTAACTAAGATTTATCTTGTTTGAAATTATTCTGAGCTTCTCTGGAGGCCTTTGGTGCTCAGTGAAAGGAAGCTAGAAGACAGTCTTTGCAGAAGTCTTATGGCTATTCCTAACCACAGTTCAGTGATCTATGGACTTCTTTGTAGCTAGGGTACTTTACTACCCAATAAACAAAGTAACCATTTCTTAACTTTTTCCTTCATGGTGGTATCTTTTGAGAGAAGTGCATCTCTAAGATGGGAACTTCTTTATCCAATCCAGCTAAATGCAATATAAATCTTACTTATTAGAAAAAAGATTGGTATTGGGGGAATATCATAAATTCTGATCGTCAGAGATTTTGTATGCCTTTGCCAGATGCACTAATGTTTGTTTTTCATGTTCTGGAGTACCTTAATTTCCTTTTTCCCTTCATGCTATTAAGCTGTTTAATCTTTCCAAATCTTTTTAAAATAAATTTTATATTATCTTGTTTTTCACATCACCAAAATCCATCTCTCTTCCCCTCCCAGGGAGTCATGAATAAGTAATATTTTAAATAATTTTAAATAAATAATATTTTAAAAGAGAAAAAAATTGACAAAACTTAGCTTTCAGAATATAAAATCTTAACCATAGACTACTGTTTGACCCAGAGATTATTATCCAGCTCGTTAGCTCTGACTGCCACCAATGGACAAAAGCAATAACTATGAGCACTAATAGCAGATGTAAGGTATGAACAGGAAATTTTTTAAATGACAGTAGAATGAGGTGGAAAGTGAGGAAGAGAGGACCAAGGAGAAAGAGAGGGAGGAAAGAAAGGGAAGAGAGAGAGAAAAACTAGAAAAGGAAGATCATTGTGTTGGAGATGGTACAGTTCTACAGGTACCATGACTTTTAGTTTGATTTTCTATTTCCTTAGTGAGTTTTTTTAATGACTTAACATTTAGAATTTTGCTATATCATTTATAACTATATGCATATTTACATAACAAATTGCCTACTGTGTTTTATGGGTAAATTAACTTTGTTTTTGAACAAGAAAACTCCAAAAATTAAAAGATGAAGTTTTTCTTTATTTGTAGAAAACTGTTAAGTCAAGAGTTATTTCAGCATCAGCTTTTTTTTTTATTTTGAGCCTTGTAGAAATAAGGAAGACCTCAAAAAATTGGTCAAAGACTTGATTATTGGCCTCTATAGCTCATTTTCTCTCTTTCTTTTTACAGGTAATTTGGACTAATCAAATGACAACAAAGATTGAGAAAAATCAGTCCTTACTAGTTCCTGCTTTAGGTAAGTAATTAATAATTTTTAAAAACTTTATATGTCTATGGAGTTTTTTAGTATGTAAACATAGGGGATTCCTATTTTCTATAATTCTTCTGGCCACTGAGACACAAAAGCAAAAGCAGCAGAATTATTTTTAACTAAATGCTTTTTGACTATGGCATTACACTGCAAAAGATAGGGAATAAAGTACTGTGAGACTTTTGTTATAAGCCTACTTTTAACTGTTCTGCTAAAAATCTAAAGTGTAGTGTTCATGCCCATTTATAGCACTTCAGAGAAAGAATCACAAGAATTTGTCCTCAGAAACCTCTCAGATGGAACACATGCCCTGCCCCTCAAGCACCAGTAGTGTGTCTTTTGGTTGGCATTCCAGTTCCTGACACTGAGTAGGTGGTCACTCTATTCAGTGAATTATTTCTTGAAAAGAGTGTGTGGTGCCCGCTTCAGCAGCACATATATTAAAATTGGAACAATATGGAGTAGATTAGCATGGCCCCTGTGCAAGGATGGCACGCAAATTCGTGAAGCGTTCCATATTTTTACCATTTGTTAAAAAAGAAAAGAGTGTGTGAATCTGGTTTGTTTTTTTGAAGTAGAGCTATTTTTTAATACACTTGGAAGCCTGCTTGGTAAAAAAAAAAACATTGAAAAGTCTTTTTGTAAAGCAAAAAATCATCCCTTAATTTATCTTTTTTAAAAAAATGAATTTCCATATGTTCGGCTTGCTTAAAGCAGAAGTTAGCTCTGTAATTAGTCATTTGAAAACCTAAAATGAAGCATTATATGGAATTTTTGGTATTATAAGTTCAACCAAATATTTGCAAAACCACTTTACTATTTTCCCTTCTTACTCTCTTTTTTTTTTCACTCCTGGGTTCTACTCTCTACTTATTTTGGCCTTCAGCAAATCTATGAGGTAAAATCTGAGGGGATGAGGAATGCCCTCTACACAACATGTCTACCTGAAATTCTACCATTAGAGGTGCATTCCTTTTTATTATGGGATAGCTCTTCTGTTAAAACCAAGCGTTCTTGGTTGGAGTCACATGCTAAGCTAGTTATTTATCGTGTGATGGGGTAAATAAAAGCTGTTTGGTTTAAGACTTTGAAATGGAGGCTGAAGAAAGTAGAGGGTATAAGCAGATGGCTATAATTACACTGAAAAGTAAGGGAGAAAGAGCAGGGACTGTACACCAGTGGTAGATACCTGACTGGGCTTAGACTTAACTTACTGTACTTGTTGAAAATTACTCTGAAGATGAATTCTGTTGCATATGTTTTCCAATACACTTTTCTTAATTATGAAGAAGAAGAAAGAGATATAGGAAGATGCAGGTATAGCTGGGGACAGGAGGAGCAGTGTCAAGATATTTCTTTAGAGAATATTGGATTTTTAATTATATTCATAGATAAAGCCCTTTGATTTTCTTCATATTCTGCTTCTTTCTTTATCTCAGATTTTTGCAGCCTTTCAAAAAGTTTTGAAGGAAAATGTAACAGGTAGTTTGTGTTTTCTGAGTGGAGAAGCTTGCAAATGTTAAGAGGTGTTTGCATTTTAAAATAGCCAGTAACTGAAACAGGTGTTCTACATCAGAGAGAATTCTCCAGCAAACAAAAAGTTTGATAGTTTGTAATTAGGTGACTTACATCTCAAAACATCAATTTTTGCCTTGTGAGGCTTTTGAAAATATAAAGTTATTTGATTTACATGTTCCTTATTTTAGAGGGCAGACTGTCAAAGAGAAGATATAGAGGGAGTTCAAGGAGATATCTTCATCTTCAAAGAACTTAAAACCTATTAAGGAAGATCAGAGATGTACAGAAATACAAATAATAATACTGTGTAATCTCTATGTATACATAAATATATAATCATAAAGCAATAATATAAGCATATAAAGGAAGCACAAAGCAAGTGATGTGAGGATACAGAAGCAAAGAAGAAACTGTTTCTCCCTGGAGGAGATTAGGGAAAGCTAGAGAGAAGCCTTCGTTTTACTAGTCTGAGGTGTGAGTGTGAGCAAGTTGAAACATACCAATTTTAGAGAATGATGTGAAGCTGAAAATTATGGAATACCTACAGACCTTTACACTTGTAGAATGATGACTAGTCCAGTTAGTTCATGAATATAACAATAATATTTCTTTAAGGTTCTGTGATTTCATCATTATGGAGACACTCTCCATTAAATATAGATTCCAATTTCTCTCTGCATTAGCAAGTAGTATTCGTGAGCCATGAATACTGGAAAAAGTCAAACTAATAGCCAGTCTTCTAGGAGAAAATCATCTCCATACTTTACTAGGTTATTTCTCAGATATCAGATACTTAGGCTGTTGCTGAGTATACACTTGAAGTCTTTCTAACTTCACGTAGGACCTGCCTGAGCTTGTATTCTGCTGGCAGAGCCTTTGGAAATCCAAAGGCACCTTTGTGCCATGATGAAACGTTAGAGTCAGTGGAGAAACAGTTACTAGAATACTTCGTGTTTATATTGACAAGTAGAGTGATGGGGCTGAAAAAGTCATTTGGTCCCAGACTGTGTAGCGAGGCAAAGGAGTTTATAATCTTTATCCATTAGGCAACGAGGAGAGGCTTTTTAGTAGAGGATTGGCATGATCAGATTTTTACATTATTAATGTTAATCTGGCGTATATATAAAATGGATTGGAGGAGAGAAAGCGGAGACAGGAAGATCTATTAGGAGATCATTACTCAGATTATGCATTTATTAAATGCCTACTATATGCTTAGTTACTGTGCCCCCTCAGGGATACACAGACAAATGAAACCAAGGAGTATGCATTCTACCTGGAGATGTCAACATGTACTCATAAGTGAAGATATAAAATAGATATAAAGTTTTTGGAGGAGGGGAAATACTAATAGCTGGGGAAACCAGGAAAGACTTCAGAAAAAGATGACACTTGAGTGGAGTTAAGTTACAAAGAAACTAGGGATTCTAAAAGGTGGAGGGAATTCATTAGTGTTGCTAGAATGTATTGGCAAAATGTCTCTGGATTCCTCTATTAAGCTCTTAATATGTTTGAGTTTTTAATTTTCTTGTGGCAGAAATATGTGAGTGGGTCTGGTGGCATGGAAGATTGACTGGCATAGTATCTGATAAAGTTAATTAAAAGAAAAAAGTTGTATATTTACAGTATTTTCCTTGTTCATAATGCAGCATGTGTCCTGAGTTTTATGAAACTCAGTGAACTGGTTTTACTGTATTAAATCAAATGAGGCTGTAGCTGGTTATTGGAGTTAGTCTGAAACGCTGCTCTCTACCTAGTAGATAAGGCAAGATACTCATAAGTCATTGTTATATTCTTTTTCTTAGGGGAAAGTTGGGGACATGCAGCTACAATTCGATTAATCCTTCATTGGGACCAAAAGCAGAGGTCAGTGAAGAAGCTGGCTAGTGATTCATATTGCATTCAGTAAATGTCATGAGCTGGTCTCGTGGTTGAGCAGTGTGGTATCATTTGAACATGTCTCAACTTTGTTTTTGTTTTTCATTTTCATTGCTATCTTTTGTTTTTATGTTACCTTCATTTCCCAGCATAGCCCTTTTTCCTCCCATTTGTAGAAAGGCATACTTTTTAACAAAGAATGCAAAAGAAATACATAGGGGAAAGCACACCAAGCAAGGTTAACAGTAGAAGCAGTGCTGCACACCCATAACCCCCCACATCGGCAAAGCTGGAAGGGGAAGAAGGGAGATACATTTTCTTCTCCTTTTAGGGACAAACTTGGTCATTCTAACCTTGCAGCTTTCAGATTGATATTTTTCTCCTTCCTTTTTCCATCATTGTAGTCATTGTTTATATTATTTTTCTGGTTCTGTTTACTTCACTCTGCATCAATTCATAAGGCTTCCACATTGGGCCTTTTTCTTTTATTCACTGGCTCCATGTGAACAGCGACAAATGTAGGTTGCTACTGTTCTGTACTAAATCACAGAATTTCAGAACATGAAAAGTCCTTTAGCTAAAGGAAAAATTCTTCAGAATATTTAAACAATAGGTTGTGCCTGAAAGTGTAGATAGAAGGGGAATGCTGTCTCCTCTTATACCTTTTTGGAATCAATTACCAATTTTTAGCTAGCGTCCTGAAAGAAGCTTGGTACCCCTTGTACCTACAAGGGTTTAAAAACATCATAGAGAAGAGTATTTTTGAAGGTTTCCCTAGGATTCTTTTGTAGAAAGTAGGGTCATTTTTCTTAACTACTTCATGTGATACTCACTGATGTCACCTATGCAGAATTTTATGTCTGTATTGTTTGTATTTCTTTGCGTTTGTTCTTCCTCTGTTCCTATTACCTAGTTTTCTGTCTATCTGATAAACAGCTTTCTGTGAGTAAAACTAATAACATGAATCATTTCCCCCTACTTTTGAAGCCTTTGAGCAAACGAACAAACTAGCTTCCATTTTCCTTAAAATGGAAAGAGAGAAGTTGTGGTTTTTTTAAATGTACTTTATAGAATAATGCCAGAATCCTGCCAGCCTCTCCACTTTCGGATTAATTGGCATAACCTCATGAACTGTGTCCAAAAGCTGTTCTGAAGAGAGAGGCTGAGACAGCATGTAGGCTGCAGATGGAACAAAGGGTTACCCTAAATATACTTTGGATCCGGTCAGTGATGAGATCTCTTACTTTATTTATTTCTCTTTGTTCTCATATTAATTGATAAAAAGTCAGTACTGACCCAACCACTTTTATTTTGACACTACTCTCAGAGTTCATAAACAGAATTAGACTCCTTTTTTCTAATTAAATGATACATTTATAGCAGATAATTTATTTGGCCTGTACTTCCATTAAAGATTGCTATTTCCAAATGGCTCAAGTAACTCAGATTTTACATCTATATTTCCTTTTTTAATAATTGTTTTGGCTAATATGACAACCTTTTTCATACCTGTGATTAGTCTTTGACCTTCACCAGCTTCAGATGTTGGGACCTATTTTCTGGGGGAAGACCTAGAATGGAGTGGTTCTTGTAAATAAAATAATTGCTTTGGCTGATTTGTTCCTAGCCATAAAATTGTTCTTCCCCCTTCCTGTGAAGGTGACATTGTGCTCAAAAGAAAATCCACTAACGACAACATGCTCTGTTGTAAAGTCCTGGCAGCAGATCTCCAACTGAGAGACTCTTAAAACATTGCTTATACTTCCTGAGATGTAGGCTATTCTGCAAACTGCAACCTGCTGTTTAAATGTTCTAAGGAATTCCCTGTGTAGCTGCTATGTAATAGCAATCTACCTCAGGCTATAATTAAATGTTCTGTAATAGAATAGCACCTAAGAAAAACTAAAAATAATTAAGAGGATCTTTGGCAGGATATCTCTTCAACCAACTATAAGAAGATTATTTCTAGTATATAATTCTGAAAGTTATTGTTGTGTGGATAGGTATACATATAGGGGCAAGTAGATGTTTTTGCTTCTTTAAGTTGAATTTACTCATGAACAAAATATAGCTTATAAAAGATACAAGATGAACCTGAAAATAATTTTTTCATTTATTTTATTGATTTTTTTTTATGTTGCTCAGTTTCCAGTAACATTCCCTGTTCTAGGTTCATGGGACTAATTTCAATTGTCAGAGAAAAGCTCTTCTCATTCCCTAGCATTTAACAGCTGATATTCTGCTCTCTAAATCAGTAGTTATGTGGTAAATATTACCATTACACTACTAAAAGGTGAAATCAGAATCCAACATACAACTCACATAAATTCTGGTGAGATTTATTGAGTAATATGAATTGTTACAGAAATTAGTTTGAGCTAGCTGGATTGCAGATGAATAGCCAGTGAAGGGAGAATGAATGACCAATGGCTCCCTTAGGTACTTTTGGATGAAGAGCATCTTCTGGGCCTGCAGAATTTCTGTAAGTCCTACACCAGCCTTCTCCATACATACCAGTATCCACATTAAGGGTCACAGAATGAGTCTTCTGCTTCAATGCAGATGTTTGCAGTTTGAAGTTAGAGTGCTCTAATATATGCCTTTATTGTACTCCTGAACTTCACCATCTCTGCTAATCTTCTACATTCAAGATTTGTTACTGCATTAATCTGATGTATTTCAGTGCTCTTTTACTTTAGCATTATTGTAGTGAGCCTTAGAAAGGTTGAAAAGGGATTAGAACATTGTAGTGTTATAGTTATACTTAGGGGAGAAAGAAAAAAATCCCTCCTTAGTAGGTTCAAATCTAACCTTTCCTACCCTTTCCAATGCTAATTCCTGTAATAACATCAGTTCTTTAGTGTCAGCAGTTTTAAAAGTGTGAATCACTTTCCATTTTAATAGTTTTTAAAATGTTATTTCCCATGGGTCAAGTTTTCTCCTCCAGTTTTTTCCACCAGTTTCTTTTGGATTGTAGCCTTGTGTTGCATCAGCTATTTAAGTCATTATTAGGTTGAACAGTTTTTAAAGAATTAAATATTCTGCTAATTCTTTATTGCTTTGTTTTCTGTGGTCGAAATACCTTCAGGTCTTTAAGATTATGTGGGTACTTTCATGTTTTTAAAAAACTAGTTGATTATACTCCACAGTATCAATCCTGTATTTGGGCAATAAATCGTAAAGTCTAACCAGAGAAAAGACTTAGAAAAATGAGCCTTTCTTAGGTTAAGCAAAGAAAGTCATAAATATATAAGTTTATATTGCCTGGTTTGGGATTTAGGTTGTCCAGGCTTTTAAAGTGTACTTTGTCTAAAACATGATTAATGATGCTTTAAGTAAAATTTTTACAATGATTTTAAAAAATTGTTTTTTATCTTATGTGCCTTGTATACTCTGGGTTTTCTTACCATTTGCATATTCATGATATGAAGCAATGATTAGAATTTTACCTCTTTTTGCCAAGAGTATCAGGTGGTAGTGCTGGGTGATAAATCACACCCCCACACAGTATTTCATATGTGTGCTGTGCTTTAGAGCACAAACTGTGCTTCTGACTTGTTTCTTCCTGACCTAAACTATGTAGTTCAGCCATATGTTGTGTTTCATCCCAAATATAGCCATTAGCCAAGAGATTCCTCTGTTTGGTTTTTTAAATTGCTGAAATTCTATGAATTCCCTGAGATGTAGACACCAAATATAAAACTGTTTTTCTATAATGGAGATTTATCAAAGATTTTCACCCCAAATCTTGTATTATTTGATTTCAAGTTACATTTATAAACCTTTAAGAGACATTTACGTTTCTATTTACATTTTTGTAGTAATTTTAAATTGACTGAAGGTAGCCATAAAAGCTTAGTTTGAATTCTGTTACCCTTTCAGCTTTGTGAACACAGGCAAGTCATTAATCCTCGAGTCCGTTTTTTCTTCTGTAAGATATTTTTGCTACATACCTTTTGGGGTTGCTGTGGAGGGACAAATAAAGTCATGGGTGTGAAATCACTTTGAAAACTACAGTGCTTACTGATGTAAAGTAGTGTCATTATAGGAAGGTTTAAACAATACTTTTTCTTTTTTACATTTTGGTCTGAAGGTAAACTGCTTTGAGTTTTCCTGAAGATTAATAAAGAGGGAAAAAGTTTAAAAAGTAAAAAGAACTCTTTGCAAAAAACACCCTGTTTCTAATAATCTGAAATTAGAACATGAGAATATTTAATTAAAGTGTCACGTTCTGATTGAATATTGTAAAGGTGTATGAGGAAAATGTCAAAGGTAACCAGTAATTTAAGTCACCCTTAATATATTAAATACATTTAGCAGCAACTAAGTAGCTTTAAAATAAGCAAACCAAAAAAACCTCACTTAAATGATTATTCTGGATATAATTATTTAACAAAAGTTAGGTTTGTCAATATAACAATAGTTTAATGATTCACCTTCCTCAAACTGTTCTCAGTTATATATAAGCTATTCACATTGAGTCATGCACGGCCATGTTTTAAACTTGTGTTTAAATAGTCAGTAAAGTGCATTTGGAAGTGATTCTTTTGAAACAATTATGGTTTGTTAAAAGTTCACTTATCTTAGTGTGATATGTGAGAGTGTTGTGCTAGTCTGTGTCTCAGGAAAGAGATACTCAAATGAATTGGTTTTGCATTTTAAATTTCAAGGGACAAAATTACCTTATAGTCAGTTATTTATTCTTGATCAATTTGTATATAACTAATTAAAGGAAAGATTAAGTTCACCTTTTTTCACTACTATTCACTTTGTGTTTGGAATTTTAGTTTTAGTATAATTTAGAATTGTAGCAAAACCACTCTGTAAATTGAAATTTTTATTTATCCTTACTAATTGAAACTATGTTTGTATCCATTATTTCTAAGCAGGTTAGCAACATTGCACAAATCACCAAGCCAGAAGGAGGCCACAGTACTGTTTGACATAACGGTTAGTTCAATTTGATGGGAGTGGAAATTGTATGTTGAATGGTTTCAATTGTCTAAAAAAAGCTTTCAAAAAATTATTTCTCTTGTTGTAGACATCAGTCCTCTTTAGAAATAGATTTTGTCCCTACCATATTTATTAATTCTTCAAATAGTGTTACCATTGCAGAATATTCCAGTATTTCACAAAAAATTATTCCAAACATTTATTCTTGAGGTCAATAAAAATTTCCCATGCTTTTAGAGTAATGTGTTCTACGAAATTAACTTTATCATATTAATATTTTAAAAGTAAACAACTTAAAATATCAGCATTAGTCGTGTTAGTCTGTACCTAGGCAGTAGGTCTTTCAGTAACTGTCTCTGTAGCCACATTTACTAATATAACATTATTTGGGAAAATATTTATTGTAGGATTTATATTTGTGGCTAAAGTATACATTTTTCCCCATGGTATAGACACAAATATTAATAAATGACTAGATTCTCATTTCTACAAGGGTAAAAAATGAGAAGAGGAAAAATCTGAAGCTTGTTAATGAATCTACATGGCAGTAAACTGGTGTGTTCCAGCCTACACTTTGAAAACCATTATTATAGGACAGTTGTCTCCCAGACAAGGTCAGGTGCACAGGGCAGTTCGTTAAAGCACAGAAGGAAAATGAGACCTTTTTAATCTTGAAAAGAAAGAAATTTAGCTTTATTAATACTTAACTTATGGTTCAAAACTGGTACCTTCACTCAATCTGTATATCCCTTCCAATATTTGGTATATTCTTTTTTTTTTAAATGTTTCATTCATTCATTATTTATTTATTTGTCTATTTATCTATAGTTTTCAAAAATCACTTCCATATGCTTTTGAGTTTTAAATTTTTCACCCTCTCCTTCCCCATTTCCCTCCCCAAGATGGTGTGCAATCTGATATAAGTTCTACCTATACATTCCTATTAAACATATTTTCACATTAGTCATGTTCTAAGGAAGAATTAGGAACAGTAGGAGGAACCACAAGAACGAAGAAACAAAACAAAAGGAAAAAAGAGAGCAAATAGTATGCTTCGATCTGCATTCACACTCCATAGTTCTTTCCCTGGATGTGGATAGCATTTTCCATCATGAGACTTTTGGAGATGTCTTAGATCCTTGCATTGCTGAGAAGGGCTGTCTTATCAAAGTTAGTCATCGCACAATGTGACTGTTACTGTGTATAATGTTCTCCTGGTTCTGCTCACTTCACTCAGCATCAGTCCATACAAGTCTTTCCAGGTTTTTCTGAAGTATGCCTGCTCATTATTTCTTACAGCACAATATTATTCCATTACATTCATATACCACAACTTGTTCAGCCATTCCCCAGTTGATGGGCATCCCCTCAGTTTCCAATTCTTTGCTACCATAGAAAGAGCTGCTATATTTTTGTACATGTGGGTCCTTTTCCCATTTTTATGATCTCTTTGGGATACAGCCCTAGAAGTGCTACTTCTGGGTCAAAGGTATTTGGTATGTTCTTAGGGAAGAGTGGGAATCCACAATGAGGAGGAGCTGATAATGGGACCCCCACTTGTTCATGTTTCTGGTGTATTGTAATATATTGCTGTTTAGATAGACCTAGTTAGGTTCACTTAAGTGTAGTGTTTGTATATTTGATTATGTGCAATATTTGTATTTCTGTCAGAACAGAGTGGCTATTATCTCTGTTCCAATTATAGGCTGATCTCTGTCCTGGAGAAGATGAAAGGATTAGAAGAATGCTTCTTAACAGTCCAGGTTGTAAGGGGAAATTTGAGTGTTCCTAAAGGAAACAGAATTGAGACTTCACTTGAAAAAAGGGATCCGAGGTGAAAGAGGGGAGTTGGGAATGGAAGAGTATAACACAAGAAGAGCAGAAGAGCAAGGGAAGGGAAAGGGCAGTTGTCCAGTTAGAGCTTAAGACAGATTTGAGGTTCTTCCTGAAGAGGAGAGAGCTGGATACTCTGAGAGGGAAACTGCTACTTGTGCTCTCAAAAAATGATATAGTAGGGCCATAGAAGCTTTCAGAGGAGAGATCATCCAAGGAAGGTCAAAGGAGGAACAGATGATCATTAGTAGTACCTGGTGATTCTTTGCTCAGAGGTGCTGAGGCAGCTCTTTGTCAACTTGATAAAAACTGCAGAGAGGCCTGTTGTCTTCCTGCATCTAGTATCCAAGACAAGCAGAAAACTTCCCAAGGTTTATCAAAACATATGACAGCAACACACTTCAGAGATTCATGTAAACACAAATAACACTTCCAGAGGGAATCTAAACAGTTATGAAGTCTTGGGCAACAAACTGCAGACTATATGGAGAAGTTGAATTTTCTGCATTGTTGGGCACTATTGAAGGAAAGGGAATTTGGGAAGTAAACCACTGATTAAAGCATCTAGGTGTTGCAGGGTTGGACTTGGAGTTAGCAAGACCTAAGTTCCAATCCTGCCTCAGACACTAGCTATGTGACTCTGGACAAATCATTTAACCTCTCTCTGCCTCAGTTTCTTCCTTTATAAAAATGAGGATAATAATAGCACCTGCTGAACCAAGACATAGATTGTGGAAGCGACACATACCTGGCAAGAACTGGAATACACCAGCACAAAGCCTGGTAAGAATATATTTGCCATATGTCTTGCGAATTAATCAAAAGGACTTTAAAAAGGATAGGGCTGCCTTTACATGCACCTCAAGTTAGATAACATAGAGAGTAGCTACAAAGAATGAAGAAATAGAGCAGCTGAGACTGTTACCTCCTAGAATTTGTGACAGAGGAGAGGAAGTCTGGGCATAGTCTGACATATACCCTATATTTTAGGAAAGCAGATTTCAAGAGTTCAGAGGAAGCATAGAAAGGTTCCCATGGACTAAAATGTCATAGAGGAAGCCAGCCAGGAGGGTTGGGAGGGACTCGAGAATGCAATTCTGAAGACACAAAGGGAAATCAGTTCAAATGAAAAGGAAAAATGATATCTGTCTGAAGACAATGATGTGGCTACACAGGAAATGTACCAACCAACTTTGATTTAGAAAATATAAGAGTATCTGTGCCCTGTAAAAATAGTTTCAAGTGCTAAAGCTCAGAATAAGTGGAGGCTGGTGAGGGAAATGAGGGACAACAAAAACGCCTCTTTACTCAGGGTAGATGGGACTGAAACCTGACAACAGAAAGAAGCAGAAGTGCCCAATTCAAATGTTGGAGTTTTGGGGGGTTTTTTTTTCCTCTCTCTCTGTAAGAATAATCACCTATAGCATGGAAATGATAGAATCAAAATAACCTAAAGGGAGCACATCCCAGATCAATGAGGAGGTAGAAAGAGATCTTGCTGCAACTGCCTTGATGCATTCAGGCCACCTGGTCCAAAGGAGCTGCATTCACAGGGCCTGAAAGAACTGGCAGGTGAGATCGCTGTTGGTTACAGTAGAAATTTGAATGCTCATCAAAAAAGGAAGAAGTGTCAAGATTGGAGAAGAGGAAATGTCCTGATTTTAAAAAAAAATAAGGAAGAAAAAAGTCTGCAAACAATATATGGCTTCATTTTGATCCCTGGGGAAAACTCTAGAATGGATCTAACGTTGAAGAAATGGTTGGTGAACATCTAGATAGAAAAGTAGTGATTAACGAAGAGCTCGCCTGGCTTCATCTAGAACATGTTCTGCCATACCAACCTTATTTCCTGTTTTGGAGAGCACTAAACCATAAATGAGGAGAATGCTGTCTATATATTTTACCTAGATTTTGGTAAAACTTTTTTTTTTTTTGGTAATTGGGGTTAAGTGACTTGCCCAGAGTCACACAGCTAGTAAGTGTCAAGTGTTTGGTCTGAGGCCAGATTTGAACTAAGGTCCTCCTGACTTCAGGGCCGATGCTCTTTCCACTACACCACCTAGCTGCTCCTTTGGTAAAACTTTTGATAAATTATCTAATTCTCATGGACGAGATGGAGAGGTGAGAATACATGTAGAACCATTTGAATGGTTGAATTCAAAGAGCTGTGGTTAGTGGTTCGATGTAACTGTAACTGGAGGCCACAGCAGAGTATTCTAGAGATCTTTGCTCGTCATTGTGTTGTTTTAACATTATTACTAATGATTTGGATTCAGGCATAGATACATATATGTTTGTCAATTTTTCAGATGACACAAAGCTGGAAGAACAGTTAACACACTGGATGACAGTGTCAGGATCCCAAAAGATCTTGAAAGGCTACAGCATTCTGCTGAATTTAATTAACGTTGGAATTCCCTAGAAACAAGTGTAAAGTTTTATACTCAGGTACAAAAATATTAATTTTGCCACTAAGATTTGTGGGTTTTAATGGACGACAGTGTCAGTGTGAGTTGGCAGTATGATGAAGCAATCAAAAGAACTAATGCAATCTTGAACTACTTGGAGATACGGGACTTCCAGGAATAAGGAGGAGATCATCCTGCTGTACCATGTCCTCATCAGACCTCATCTGGAATATTGTGTCCAGTTCTGGGCCCCCTGCTTTAAGAAGGACCTTAATAAGTTGGATTGTCCAGGGAATAGTAACAAGGATAGTGAAGGGCCTGAAGTCCATGTCACATCAGATTAGGTTGAAAGAACTGGGCCTGTTTAGCCTGAAGAAGAGAAGACTCAAGGGGGACATGATAGCTGTCTTCACACATCTAAAGGGCTGTGATGTAGAGAAAGATATAACTTGTTATGCTTGGCCCTAGAGAGCAGAACTAGGAGCAGTGGAAGTTGCAAAGAGACTAGTATAGGATGGTGTCACAAAAAGTTTCCCAACAATTTGAATTGTCCAAAAGTAGAATGGGCTGACTCAGAGAAGTGATATAGTTCTCCGTCTTCATAGGCTTTGTAGGTGACCACTTGTCAGGAATATTAGAGAAGAAATTCCTTTTGTGTATGCATTAGATTAGATGGACACTGAAGCCCCTTCCAGCTCTCAGGTTCTGTGATTCATAGATTATATTACCCAGTTTTAATTAAACTGACATAGAATA